ATCACCATATATGTAATGTAACTACCCCCCGGAGGGAACTTAACTCTGAGTGGGATAATTATTTAGTGAGATTCATTGGTTCATAAATTTTAAGAGAAATGGGCAACAATATTACAGGAGCAGGAGGAAGAAAGAAGGCAAAGGTAATGAAGATTTCCGGTGAAACCTTCAAACTGAAAACACCTGTATTAGCTTTCGATGTGGTTAAGGACTACCCGGGTCATGTTTTGTTGGAATCAGAAGCAGTAAAGCGACATGGGATCAGAGCAAAGCCATTGGAGCCTCAAGAAGAGTTGAAGCCCAAGAAGATATATTTTCTTGTGGAATTGCCAAAGCTGCCCGAAGAAAGAGCGCCAAGGAGAGCAAGGTCTGCTGTTCACATGAGCGCTAAGGACCGGCTCGAGTGCCTGATGTTGTCAAGAAGATCAGGCTCTGATGTTTCGGTTCAGAGACAAAATCCAGCAGGGCCTGTTCAGGTTAAGATGAGGTTGCCCAGAACCCAAGTAGAGAAGTTGGTAGGAGAAAGCAGAGATGAAACAGAGCTTGCTGAAAGAATTGTTGATCTTTGCATGAAGAATTAATTCTTCTGATCAGGAAATAAGTAGTCCTAATTCCATTACCCCGTTTAATGGAAGAAACCCCAAAGTTTGGTTGCCTTGGTGTACAGAGAGATTCACGAGACATGAAGGATTAAGTTGTTAATTTGTTTTTGGGTAAGTTTTAAGCAAATCCTTTAAATTTGTGTTTACTTCTTGATTGGTTTTGCTCAGACATATGTTAGCTTGTTTGATACTAGTTTTGATAAAAACCTTCGAGCCTTCCTATTGCAAAAGGACTGTAGTCTTCGAAGATTTACCACCTATTGTCTTGACAAATTACGGCTTGGCAGATTTCATATTACGTCCTACAATTTTGCAGGCCTATATCCTACGGTTTTTTTGTTTTTCCCCTCCTCTTTTCTCTTTGACATTTTGAGATTTAATCATTGAATGAACCAAGCTAGTTTTTGCTTGGTAGCTGCCACTGAAAAGGTGAAAAATGACCAAATTCATACAAAAAAGAAAAGCGGATGTATTGTGTAATCACTGAATTTTGGCCTCGAAATTGGTCAAAGAAGGCACAGAAAGTGATTTCCGTTTTTGGTACAGCGGAAAAATGATTTCAGGGCAGGACAAAATAGTGGTCGGCAGTAAGAGCCTTTGTTAGTCAGCAGAGAAAAGCTCCATCTCTGTCCAACTACAACTTCAATCAGATTCACAGGAAAAGGAAAATCAAAATCGGTCGACGTTCGCCGAATCTTTTTCCTTTGGCTATGTGCAAAACCAATTCTCAATTAATCAATCTTTGTCTTTTTTTTTTTTTGTTTTTTCTTTCAAAAAAATTACTGGAGCTGAAAATTGACATCCCATAATCAAAAAATGAGAAGAGGCCAACTTCCCAAGTCCCAAATTGTGCCTAATTCACAGACATCTTCTAGATGTTGGACTCGAAAGACTACAGATGTTGGACTTGGGCTCGGCCTTTGGGCTAAAACCCGAAAAGTAAACCTTGACCCAAGACTAGAAACGTGTCGCTTCCAATACGTTTCATGGAATAAATAAACGCAACATATGCAAGTGATCAAATCTACACACAGCTAAGCCTGCAAGTAACACACAACTGCGAACTTTTGAAAATTTCTTTAGCACAGTTAACCCACACCCGGCATCGTCCCTCATGGGTCATGACACTCTTTTATTCTCCAGTAGAAAGGATTAGGCGCAACTTTTACTTTTTAGTAGAAGAAACTATTAGAGTTACAAGGGTTGCCAAGATCAACTAGCCATTTTATTTCTAACACATATTTCTCTTTACAATCCGCATGTTTGCGCCAATACAACCGCCACCAAGAAGGGGAAAAAAAAGGTGAAAAAAAAGAAGACAGGGCGAAGCCCGTTCATGAAACAAGACTACATGCAAATCCAAGTTCCAATCAAAATTGTTAGATTGATTGATCAAAGGCGCGGTGGCAAGACAAAAGGTGACGGTGATCATTTGGATGGCTGAGGAGAATCCGGAATCAAATTCCCATCGGAGTCGTACAAAATCTTCCCCGAGAAATCCAACGGACGACACTTTTCTCCTTTAATGATGGTCTTCCTCCAAACAGCTTCTTCATCGTCATCACCATCTTCATCCTCTTGTCCTTCGTCCTGCACTTTCCTCCAAGAAATCATCTTAGCCAAGAGAAGAGCTTTACTGCTTAGGTTGCTTTGGAGCCTCGCAACTCGCCTCTTATTATCACCCAGTCGGACCGTTTTCTCACCCCGGCGCCATCGTGATTTTCTGGCCTCAGAGCCGCATAACAGCGCAACAACAGAAAGTATGGACAAGACTGCTATTGGCATGATGAGAAAGGTGATTGATGGCGGTAAAAAAGCCGGTTTATGGAAGGGGAATATTCCGGGCATAGTCCTGACCATGGCTGCAGCAGAACCGACTGACAAAGGATGATCAATCGAGACGTAGAAAATATAAATAAATGAAGAGAGAATGAAAGATTGAGAAAGGGGTGATCGATCAAGAAAGGGAGAGAGTAGGCCTGAACACTAGCTATTGGTTCTACTAGGCGACACCACACCACTGCACTAAGCCTCGTATAATGACGTGGTAGACTTTGAAGTTGAATGACTTCCAAAATGAGATGTCACTGTAATATTTTTCTTTTGAAAATTTGAACCGAACCAAAAAAAAAAAGTGTAGAGAGGATAACTCTGAATTGTAATCCAAGAAAAGTGAGGTAGTTATCGGTGAGGACTGAGGAGGACCTGCTGACGAAGTAGTGGTACTACAGAACAGCTAGGTATTTTTTACACAACAACAAACAAACAAACTGTCTAAATTATTATTGTATTTATTTATGGGATATTTATTTTGGGATTTTAATTATCCTACAGTTTTAAAGCGTCAAATAAACAACAATACCACCGTGTTTTACCCGTTTGATTGACTATGTGTTGACGAGATGCGATTTGGCAATCTCGTCCTTCAATAAAACAGTGATTGCTCTTTGGGTAAAAAGATTGATTAATTGACCGAGTCACCTCACCTGACCTCACCTCTAGTGGAGTCCAAAAGTGGACCTCTAGTCAGCGTCAACTCCCGCTTACCATTTAGGCACCGGTCATTGCAGGATATGCATTACAATTTACAGCCACAGTCTGGAAAATCAATTTACTGATCACTCCTAGAGGCACTTGCAATTGCAAGGGAAGATATATATATATATATATATATATATATATATAGATTAGCAACATAGGCTAGCTATCACTCTGTGATCGAACCCCACACAAAATTGCTGCAATTCGGATGTTTAGGCGGAGTAACTTTGGGGAGATCTGATCAATATGTTTAATGATGAGTTCCATTTAAGGAGTGCGAGAAGAAAAAAAAAGGGTATAAATAATACGATTTTTAATGTGAGTGATTAATCCTCCAAGTCCAAAACAACAAGGACCTCATTCAGATTCTCCTTTCTCCGTTTCATCGCCATCGCCAAAGGTCAGAGTAAGGCTGTAAACGAATCGAACTGTTCGCGAGTAACTCGAGTCAAACTCGAATTCAAAATATAAAGCTCGTTAGCTCGCGAGCCGAGTATATATATATATATATATATATATATATATATATATATATATATATATATATATATTATTTTTTATTTTAATAGCAAAATTATATATATATCTTTAATATTTTATTATTTATTAAGAAAAAATATTATTTTATTTATTTTTTTAAAAATAAAATAATTATTTTTTATTTTTTTGAGTTTGAGATTTAAATTATCAGTTCGTCGAGTTCGAGTTTAATAAAACTGAGTTCAAGTTTAATAAAACTAATTCAAGATTCGACTCGATTAGAATAAAATTCGATTCGACTCGACTCGTTTGCAGTCTTAGATCAGATCATGAATCAAGATCCGTTTCAAAGTTGAAGCTCGTTCAAACTTGCGGGTATAAGTGACCAGAATTCAATCACGCCAAAGATTGAGACAGACTTTTGTTTGTCAATTTGTGAGACAGACTTTGGTTTGTCAATTTGTGGGACGGTAAAGGGAAGATAGGGCATGAGTTGAGAGATTATTCCATGATACCATGCGGTTATGTAGGCTCAGGTAAAATTTCAACAAATGGCAAGCTCATTTTGCTTTCTTTTTTTTCCCTTCACTTTATTTTTTTAATACTAGTCAAACAAGGAAAATTCATAGTAGAATAGTTTACACGAAAACTTTTACCAACACAGAATGACACGACGGTTTTCTGGCTGAAGCAGGTTTCCTTGTGATAAATAGACAGGATGCAGAATATTAGTCTGGTAACTCGATACCTTCAAATTTCTGCTGAAAGGACAACTTATCAGACGACCTTTTGTTTTGGATAAATTCCGATATATTAATACACCAGCTACGGATTAATGGTTATGCATCCTGATCACCAGCCGCAGCATTTTCAATTCCACGACTCATATTTGCTTGTTTTAAGCCCCAAGAAATCCACTGGAGCATCTTCCAAGCCAAGTTGGCTTGGTGGTATTATTAAAAATATTAGTAAAAAGCACCTCACCTCATGCAATTATATATATATATATGGACAAGGGGCACAAACGATTGCACCGTCTGTGACGATTTGTGCATTTTCCAACAGCGCGTAACATTTTTTACACGTCGCGTAACTTTCTTTACACACGAAGTAACTTTAGATCAAATTTTTATGAATCTCACACATGACTTGAAAATTGAGTTACATGAAAATTGAGTTACATGCTGTAATCTGATCCGCACAAATTTCTGAAGCCACATGTGGCCTTGAACTTTCAGGAACGGTTGTCTGACAACGGGACAACCGTTCGTTCCCCATTTTCATATATATATATATATATATATATATATATCAACTCAGAAATGATTGATCAGGGCAGGGTAACGGGGAGAAGACAAACACTAGCAACAAAATTCATGATCAATCACAAAAACATCATAGCACCATTCATTCATAAAGTAGTACATAAAAGGAAAATTAAAAGAGGAGGGGGAGAAAAGAAAACGAAAGAGTTAGACAGACAAGACAACATTGGTGAAGAAACAGTCCCCAGCTAATAGACTAGTGAAAAAAATAAGAACAGAACAAGACAACAAGTCAACAACAACACCCACATGTATCATGTATGTGACAAGATCAATGTACTAAGTATATCTCACTACCGTCGTGACGCGAAATCTCAAATAGGGATGGAATTTGAGACGGAAGGAAAAACGACGGTGGCCGGATGAGCCATGATGCGGCGGCCCTTCATGTGGCGAAAGCAATAAACCAGAGCACCGACAGGCCACTCCACCAGCGCAGCGGCCGCAAATGCCAAGAACCCGAGCGTCGGACCCACCACCTTGCACCTACAGGGGTTGCCGGCCGTGCCACACTGCACACATATTGGAATTGGAGCTCCAACTGCCATGACTGTTTTCTAGAGTACCTTTTTAAGTATTTAGGAGTGAATAGTGAAATTTACTGATTGGATTGGAGAGCACCAACTAGTAAAACCAAGTAGTAATAGAAACGGATGACCTCTGCGACAGTGCGTATGGTACTGGCGAATCGAATCATGAATTCGTGCGAATTTTGCACCATTTTTATAGGATTTTGGCAACTTGGCTTGAATAAGAGAGACATCATGGGTAAATACCTTGGCGGTGGCATCGGGAACAGGAACAGGAACAGGCCAGCAGGGGTTCTACGTGTGGCTTGTTGAGTGCGTTTGTTTACACGTGTTTGTTTCCAGTGGGAAGTTGACACGACGCCATTGCTTCTTTTATCTTGTAAACTTCAACTGTTTGTTAGGTAAGTAATGCAGCTCACTCAAACTGGTTTCCAGGAACAGAAAACGTGATTCCACGAATTTAAACCTGGGCTTCAATTTGGGCTAAGACAACAGGCAGGGAGAAATGAATAAGACCGGCTTTTAGGCTGCCCTAAAGGCATGAGCCTGCAAAGATGGCCCTTTCTTACTCCCAGCCCTTTCTCCTGACTGGCCCTGTTCCAAAGGCATAAGCCTGTGTGTGTGTGTGTCTGTGTGTGGAGCTTGGAGGGCAGGAAGGCGTCTTTTCCGGTTTCCTTTTTCCCCTTTTAAAAGCAAATGAGTTGATGGGAGTTGAGCCTGGAATATAACTATTCCCATCAAGTGCTGATCAATGACACTATTGATTACTACATTTTACCATCATTTAATTAGTTGTAACTACTCCTTACACGAAGATTAAATTTTTTTTTTTTACATTATTCTGTCTTAATATTACTCCATGCTGCCCTCAAAACAAAGATTACTCCACACTTTTTTTTTAATAATAATAATGGCTGAATAAAGAGTACTCTGTAATAAAGAGGAAGCTTTAAATTTTCTTCCGAAATTAGCTGTCAAGGAACAAAAACTAGTTAATTTACCACGTGTTGGAGGGATGAGACCCTCGAAAGAATTGTGGCTCAAATCTAAAGCAACTAAATTTGTCAAGTTTCCGATACCCGGTGGAATTAAGCTTTCAATCGAGTTCAAAGAAACATCGAGTTGTGCTAGTTGTGCAAGGTTTACTTGAGAAGAAGGAAGCTCGCCTTGAAGATAGTTGAAAGATAAATTGAGATAGGTGAGTTTAGAGAGTGCACCTAGAGTGAGAGTAATACGTAAGTTACTAAAAAAATTACATTAGATTCCACATAAAAACTGAATAAAACCTAAACAATATTATTGTAAAAGTTGTAAAGCAATACACTGTAAAGGAATGCAGCAGGTTCCCAGTTGTTAAAGAACAAATGAAAGTGCACAATTTGGGGTGCGTATTAGATTCGACCCCGTTGCGTCATGTACAAGTATTCATTCTGTTTTCAACAACTCGTTTTTGGAATCGATCCAACCATTCCAATCTGTAAAAGCCAAGCCAAGAAAGTTCTTCCCAACTCCATAAATTACGATACCTCATTCATGATCATTAAATCAGCCAATAGCTAAGCTATGGGAATGGGATCCACGAGTTTGACGGGTCAGGTGGTTTGCTTTTGGCCTCCTCCAAAACTTCACACCACACATTTTATTAGAGGCTTTGATCAGCTAGCTGCTAGAGGAAGTACGTGCATATTTACCTGCTCGTACCTGCAGTAGCTGATTGATTTCTAAAATGCCAAGATACGTGAGATGCCCTTTCCACTTTCCAGCACAGTGAGATGATGCCAACAAAACTGTAATTGGCCATCATCGAATCCATTAAGGGAGAAAAAGAGACATATATATGTTTGTGAGTTTCCTCAAACAATTAGTACGTATAATTGAAAGAAAGTTGAACTAATAGTGATAATAATGCCAACGGCACACTTTTCATCGATCTAGTAGGATGTATGAAGCACCACGATTGTGATACTAAAAGTTTAACAGCAAAATTTTGTGGTCCTTGAGAATTGAACATTCCGTTTTAAGACGAGCAAAAACACAGCCAATAGCCTGATATGCCACACATTATTAGATGCGAATTGTATTACGTACCCCGAAAGGGCAAATGATTCTCCATGCCATTCCATTCCATTCCATTTGAGAAAATGGAACTTATTCTGAGGGGGACAACTTTAGTTTATCATGTCGTAAAGAGGAGATGATCAAGTCTAGAAAGGTCCTACGTATTTACAGCAGCCACATGCAATTCGCTTTCATGCACGCCTTCTATTCTACTACCATAACCATACCATACCATAGAAAGAGGCTCATAATTACTCTAACAAGGGTGTTTGATTGCCGCCTCTCTTGTCCATGCAGCAACCAAAGCTGCCAACGCACACTTAAACGCAAGCCCCCCACATCACATGCAGAAATCACCCCTCGATCGCTAGCTAGAGTATTTCTTCATATTCAAACACCTAGCTCTCACCTTTCTGCTTCTTTCGTACTGGTGTGTCATATAGCTTCCACTACTAGCTAAAGCTTCTCTCCTCTCTTCATCATCATCTCCAAAATTAAAAGGGGTCTTTTCAATGTGTCAAGGGAATCGAATATTAAATCATATGAAGTTCATTATCCTCCTTTTAACATTGGTTCCAACAAGTGCTATTCGTCATGAGAAGTTCGATGAATCCACGGTGCAACCCATGCCTGAGACGAGCATAAAATGTGGGGAGTGCCCGTGTGTAAATCCATGCACTCAGCAGCAGCCACCTCCGCCGCCACAGATCACTCAGTATTGTCCTCCACAAGTTCCGCCACCGCCAAGGTTCTACTACTTTTCAGGCCCTCCAGAACCAACACAAATAACACCACCCTCTCCAAGATTCACATACGTGATAGGCGACCCCCAAGACAGCTTGTATCCAACTGATCCCTTTAATCTGGAGATCTACAACCGTGCCACGCGTGATTGTGGTGTCATCCTAGGACTGCTTCTTCCCATAATTTTCGGATTGCTACAGATATTGGCCTTTCTAGGAGCATAGAAGTACTAGAATTTTTTCTAGTAAGTTTCTAAATGTGATCGTTTACTGTCTTCTGAAAACTGTGGCAAAGGTACTTTTTGTATCACAAGTATGCTGTACAATTTTATTTTATTTTTTTAATACTTTCGGCTCCATTAAACTTAGTCACACTACATACTTGTGGTCAAGACGGATAAAAAGGCCAAATTAAGATTCGAACAGCTGCGAGGTAGCATTAAATAAATTATACTTAACCATGGAGTTTACTACTCTCAATCTGTCAGTCATCTGATCTAGCTCGACTGGTAAAGTTCCAATTTATCCATGAAGCTCAGGAGTTCCCTTTTTTTTTTGTGATTTAAATAAATATGACATGCATGGGAGGGGTGTTAATTTAGAAGCATGGAGTAATGCGGGGGATTTGAACCCATAATTTGTAAGTTTTTGAGTCTCAACTTTAACCAAATAGATCAAGGTCTCCTCGGCCGACGACAACAGGCCGGTGTTCCTATATTTCCATCGAACTCTTTTGTTAACAGAAACTAGTCTCACACTAACTCAAGAAGAAATCACGTCCCTACTGAACAGATTGTGCACGTTACAAAATCTCAATCACGTACGATTTCATCAGGCACATACAGCCTACCTGCTACTTAATCTTTTGTTTCCAATGAAGTGTAGTATTTCCCTAACTTAATCTGGTGAGATGCCATGGGCTGCTGCTCTAGAATCAGAGGCTGAGTCCATATCTAATAGTACAATATTGATTTATAAAATTGAAAAATCCGGCTCCTAAAAGTATTTAGTCCGCATGCAGATGGTTTATGAAAATCGGGCCGGAAAGGAGGGATTGGGGAATCTGATGATAATTAAATAATGCATGTAAAGTCAATTAAAGGCCTTGATGATTTCATGAGTGGGTTGATTCCTTTTTAAATGTCACCAAACTTGTTTATAACACGGCCGTATAAGATTAACTAACGAATCCCACTAATCAAGATTGTTTTACAAACTAAAATTTTGATTAATTTGGTTCACATTCACGCCACGGGAATGTAGGAACACCGATCATCATCAGCGACAGGTCAGGTCAGCCAAAATGGTCTGACATTACCAATTATTGCAACAATCATAGGTTGCAGGGAAGCTCTCCTTATTTAATACGGGCAATGAAGGAACTAGTGCTGCCATGGCTGCTCTGACAGACTGGCAACTTCTGAACCTTTCAATGCTAATCAGTATATTAATAGTAAGCTGTGCTTGTGTGCTTCATGGAAGTTGCATAGTTGGTCAAACAATCAAATAATTCACCAAAATTCCTTTCTGGGAAACGTCACAGGAAAAATACTACTAGAAAATCGTGGGTTTGCTGCCTTAATCAGTTCATACTAGTTCGTTTTGGTAGCGCCCTTGAAACCCAGTTAAGCAATTGTCAACTTTAGATGCCACTGACGGAGTGATCTTCTGGTGGAAATGAAATGTGGGGAGTAGTCCAGAAGCCTGAATGTAAAATCCCGAGGAATCAATCAACTTTTCTTGCTCTTTCTCACTCCAAACAGCATCTGACCCCCCCATAATCAAGAAATATGACAGTGAAAACAATAAACAAATGTAGCATCAGGCCGATAAAAGGACAGCGAAAAAGTAGTGATCATAAGGGAAAGGGGAAAAAAAAAGTCAATAGCTCCAAGGCATCTTACGAGTTTATAAGCGGAACATTGTGACTTAGATTATTCTATTTTCCTTCTTTCACCGCATAGCAGAAATGAAAAAAAAAGAAAAAGAAACTAATACTAACACACACCATCAGTTTCTTGGTTGGCCGGGTCTATGAGAGATCCAAGAAGGAATAAAATCAAAATGATAGAATTAAATTAATGACTGTTGCTCGCTCTGAATCTTAACTTGTATATAATATCTTATTAGTAATTATGTAGGAATTAGGACTTCATCAAAAGCTTATGGCAACGTTGATAAAATTCGTTGAAAGATGTTTACAAGACTTGTGTGGACTAAAGTAATACGGAGGTATCTTTAGTTAGCATCTTTTGTTCACTAAAGTAATAAGGTTTTACTAAATTTGAGTATTATGGAGAAATTTTACCTTGGTTCAAACTAAGATAAGATACCACAATGTATCAAATAATAATAGTATTGTAGAGCCCATCAATTTTACATGAGATACCATCCAAAATCAAATTCTAAAGCTCGTCTATCTAATTAGCCAAAATCAAATTTTTTTCTTTCTTTTTTTGTGGGATGGTAGACCAAAATCTGATTTGCCCAAAGTGTTTGAATGCTTCAAAGCCCCTTCAACTACAACCCAAGAATCACCAAGAGTTTGATCATGTCATGACCGTTATCAGAAGATGGATATAAAATTTATTCCATAGTCAGCACATCAACATCAATTGGGCAGGTATACCCTCCCTGGATCTCCTTATTTCCAATGGTACTTCCTCTCACACAGTCGCAAAAAAAGAAGGTTAAAATTTTGGACTGGGAACTCCTTCTGTGTGCGTGTATATATATGTGTGTATATATATATATATATATATATATATATATATATATATATATATATATATATATATATATATATATATATATATATATATATATATATATATATGGATGACACTTAGAAATCAAGGAATCCACGGCCAGACGTTGCTTCCAAAGTCTCCAATTAAGTAACTCAATTATTCCAACTAACTATCGTGACAAAAGCTTACACCTTTCTCAAACTTCATTCCACATTTGCATTCCTCACTCCTCACTGTCCCAAGTCATCACTCACTTTCTTTATGCACACAATTATGCTAGTTTTACTACCGGAGTGAGGAGCCCTCTCTGTTTCCAAAATGCACCCATTGGCCATGGCCAAAAAATTCTGCACAATTCTCCCTTTGATCACATTCTTGATTTTACTCATGAATTCATCGTCTAGAGTGGCTGGTCAAGGACTGTATGCTTCTCCTCCTCCGCCAGCTTCCGACTGCTCCTGTCTTACTCCACCACCACCACCACCTCCTCCTCCATCTCCTACTACAAATTGTCCACCGCCTCCTTCACCACCTGTGACAACGACTTCTCCACCGCCTCCTCCTCCGGGGTCAAATTACTACCCTCCATCCTACTATTATCCACCTCCACCAGGTGGCTACTGGCCGTACAACCCTTCACCCTCTATAGACTACAATTCTCCTCCCCCACCTAATCCTATCTTGCCTTATTTCCCGTATTACTATCTCAATCCTCCTCCACCGTATTACTCTTCTTCAGCAACTATGCTCAATGCTTTTCCACCGTTGACCTGGGTGATTCTGAGCATCATTTTACAATATTTACGGATTTAACTGAACCCTGCATGACAACAAAGGTGGTTCAGCTTGCTCTGATATTTTTTTTTTGCACAAAGAGGAGTCTGCAACATCAATTCGGCAGAGATCAAATATCCAGGACAACAATGCAGCACAAATTACACAGACGTCAATGAATAGGTAGAATTATTATATACTCTCGAACATCATTCTTGGATGTAATTCAGTTTAACTCCGCAGATTAAGATTGATTATGTTTAAAATGTGATATTACTAGTCATAGTAACGGTTGAAATTTATGCGGATGATTAATTAGGCATTTGAACCATATCATTAATTTTCTCCTTTTATGACAACTTTTCTAGCCATCGGTTGCAACTTGGAAATGTTGAATTCTGGCACAACACAGTCATGACAGAAAGTTCATATCTTCTGTTTAAAGAAAAAGAAGAAGAGAAATCTCATCTCCTTCGTCGCATTATTTCTTGTGTTATTGGGATGTATTTCTATAGTTATCTGTGTAACTTTCAAACATCAACACCCATTTTTACTTGTATCATTGATTTTTTTTTTTTTCCCTTTCACTACTTTATAGTTTATGGTAAATTACCCAATTACAAGATATATTCTTCTCTTTCTGGTCACACTTCATATTCGGCTAACGTAGCCAGAAAGTGATTAGGTGCGTTTAATTTCTGTGGGGCTAATGATACTTATTATCTTACCAAATTAATGACGTATTGAAATGTAATTATCCTATTAGCGTCACAAAACACCAGCATTTGTTAACAATACCTACCTGTCATTTGTGTCCATGAGAGTTGATACTATGATATGCTAATATGTTAATTGATTGAGAATTACGAGTAAACTAATGAAGCAACAATTTGGGAAGCCTACTATGGACCATATGCTTCAATCCAAAACCGTTGCCATCACAAAAATCATTCAGATTTATGGAACCAAAACGGTTGCCATCACAAATGATTGTGATTTAAGACTAGTCATTACTACAATGGTCATTAGTGCAATTTGGACTTGGATTACTACAACGGACTGAAAGGTGGCCAAAGCTATTATTTTTTTGTTGCCAAATCTCTGGGCCAATTGGGTCTTTGCCTGTTTGCTGCTCATCATTTGTGATCAATAATTTGCACATTACATTACGATATATTTTTGTCCTAGCAGTCTTTCTTTCTGTTTATTAATCTTTATAGGAAAGCCAAGGGAGAAAGAACATTCACAAATCATATAATAGTCTTCGGGCAGAATAGACTGACAGAGGCAGCATTTTATTCTGAACAGTTTTAATGTTTCGGGAAGACTTTTCTGGTCAACATTTTTTTGGGTTTCAGCAATCAGCACTAATTTTTAAAAGATTTGTCCCCTTTAATATCAACAAAAATGACTCTTCACGAAAATTTAAAAAAAAATTGCCATTTATAGCTTAATCGGTGTAAGCTTCTTGGTTCTTAATAACTCAACTTGTCAAGAATTGAGCTGACACTGGGCAAGTATAATAGTGAAAAGTCAAGCAAAGCAACGGCCGCCTATTCTTCCACGGTGTTTGAAAATCTTCAAAATGTCACTAAAACAAGATTGGAATGAGAAAGGAGAGGGGTTTGAGAGTCCGATCAAAAGTAAACGCTGCAATCTGCTGTATTGCGTCTTTGTTAGAAAAAAAAAAAAACCATTAAAAATGAATTTTGCATTGTGATTCGGTATTACAGTGGGTCAGCGCTGGTTACTCTTGTCTCAACCGTATTGGTCAAACTGTATGGAGAAACAAAGTTGAGAAACCAGATCTGACAAACTTTTGATAGATTAGGAGGTACTCTTAAAAGTTGAGTAAACAAAACTCAAATATTTAAAAAACTTAGTAGCTACCTAAAAGTCATTTGTTCCTCCTTTTCGTGATTTCAACTATTCTGGTTAACGCAATTCAATAATATGGGGCTAGCGGCAATCCACTCCCATTTAATGAGAGAACTTCAACTAACCACTAAAATGACAAACAAAAGATGTCAAGGGTTGGCATTTTGTTTTCCTAATAGACAGATATTTTTGCTTTTCTTATTTTAAATAAAAATTTCAGTTTAGTTGTTCTTTTCCTTTGGGAAGGAGGGCTTCTTTCGACTGATAGGTTTCCTTCTCAGACAAATGATGCAGCTTCTATCTTTCTCCTAAGTTTAGGACAGAATGATACAAAGGGTCGCCATTGTAAAGCTTAAATTAACATAGTATAAAAAATGACCAACCGAAGGTCAAAAAGCTCAGCCATTCAAAAAATTCATAAGGCCGAAATCCAGAACCTGGATAAACCGTATCCCTGTCCTCGATGCCTGAAGTTTAAGACACCCGCCATACGCAAGGAGAGAAGATTAAAGGGCTTGACTAAGCATGCACGGAAAAAATGAAGATAGTTTTTCACTAAACTTATCAAAGTCAAACTGTAACAGAGTGTAAACCACGCACATATTGGCGGCTGAGGTTCTTAATAGCTAACTATCGATTGCAAGAAGCAAAGAGGAGCGTAATTTTATAATCCTGCTGTGTATAAATATAATATAGCTAACTGTCTATAAGAGGAGCGTAATTTTATAATAGCTGCCTAGTAAACCACCGAGTTATTCAACATATCACTGGTTGGAAGGTTATCCTATTTGTCCACCGTTATAACGCAAGTAGTGCAGCAATCTAAAGATTTGATCGTCTTTCTTCGCCAAATTGCAGTTTCAGGGTCAAATCTCAGCTCCCATGTAGGCCAGTAATGTAAATCCTGCTTCAGGGTAAGTACTCGAGGCTTCCCATTTAAGTGTACTGTTCTGACACGGACAAACTCACCATGTTCCAACTCCTGTTCAATTGGTTTATTAGATTGGCTACAACTACTACTTTAGGAACCAAAGGTAGAAAAGATTCAAAAGGTAATAATAATTGGATGACCACAGTAAAATCGAGCTAAAATGTTACATGACAGTTGGAAATATAAGATAGACATACCTTCGTTGCGTCAACAAAAGCATCCAAATCAGGAGTTCGTTTCCCGTTGACCTCGACAATCCATTGGAGAGCATACAGACCATATCGATGTACAGGACTCCCGTGACACCACCTGAAAATTTAATCAACACGTTGTAACCTTCCACGTTAGAATGTAACTGGAAAAAAATAAATGGCAATCCCTACTTCTGTTAGTCGATCTTCATAATTTACAAGAATTTGGTAGTGCTTCATGCCTAAACCCCCACTGCTACTAGGTGGTGGTGATTCTCAAAAAAGAAAAAGCAACATGACATGCTGTCCCAATCTTTGACAAACAAAGGTTGTTAAACAAGATTTGGCCAAGGGTCGGTAACAAAACTCTATTGAAAGCAGCAAATACAATTTGCTTAGACAACACCCATTCACGTCACTCATGATTTAGCCACCAACGAGTGCAGCCTAAGTTCCAAACAAACAAAAGTGCCTTTGTGTTGTGAACTACAGAGTGTGTTCTCTACAATAATGTCCATCAAAAGCACATCCAACTTTGTCATGGAGTAATGTTCTAAGAATGCTGAAGAAAATCCCATCATGAAAGAGCCAGCAATTAATCCTAGTCCTTTCAAACTAATCCCTAAAGCCCTCACCTGGCCACATAAACACCATGGCCTTCTTCAGGAAGAAATCCAAGAGCACGCACCGCAGGGTGGGGATCTTGGACTATACATCCACACCAGTTTATCACACGAGCGGTTCCATTCCCATCTCTCACGTCTGTTCCCACAAGTAGTTCAAGCTCATGGCCCTGCAAGACATTACAACACTCTCTCAGTTAATTTATACATCGTTCTGTTGCCTAAATATTGGGAAAGGAAGATTATCATGAAAACTTGTCCACAAAAGCATAAGAGAGCTTAAGTTAGCTCCTGTCACCCACCTGACGGAATATAGTCATGCTAAGTCTCCCATCACTATTATCACACTGGTCTAGCGCTTGGCAAGCATCTTCAATGTCATGAAAGCATGTAACAGGTACTTTATTGATTGCCAAAACCATGTCACCTTGTTCTAATAGACTTTCAGCCCTTGACCCAGCTAGGCACCCTTTAACCCTCAATACTTGACGTCTAATAGGATCTTTTTTCACAAGAGCCTAAAGTCAAAGTTCCAGAATTCAACACAAGTCTAAACAAAGATCATAACATGAAACAAGGAAAACCTCTCAGATGAACAGCATACCTGGATCCAAGCATCACTCAATCCAAAACTCCGAGCTTTAGAAAGTAAAGTAGGGTACAGTTCAACTTCCAATATCCTTACAAGTGGCATTGGTCTCTTCACACCATTTATCAAAAGGCGAGGACCATCACCACCAGATATTATCTTATCAAGGACCTGACTGATAGTATATATGGAAAGGCCCCGGACAAATTGATGATCTTCAGATGAATTGCATCCATATTTGAGCTAGAAATAGTAACATAAGAAGGATAAGAATATGTATAACAAAGACTTAGCAGGGAATAACTGAAGAGTATGAACCTGAGTTGAAAAGCTTCCCCATACAGCCTGCACTCTCCCAAGCTCATCAGTCAGTACACCAGAAAATGTACTCCCAAAATCTGTAATAACGTCAAAAATATTATGCCACAGCAGCTCCATATGAAGACTAAAGAGAACTGCAACAAATGCACATCAAAATCTCTTTGTTGCTCAAAGCACTATATACAATGCTTATTGCATGTACCAGTATCAAGTTCAGTGACTTCCATATTGGTTGCTCTGTAACGTGGACAATCAGCTGAGCCAATATTTAAAGCAGCACATGGATTGGTGACAAAGGATTTTCTTGAAGTTGCCTGTAGGCTTCTACTCAAACCCACGAGATAGACAGGATCTCCACGGCGAAGCGCAGGTTCTGCAGTCAATTTATAATTAAGAAAAGTTATTCATTTTCAGGTCTTAACTTTCCAATACAATTTGCATGCAAAAAAAACAGGTTCTCCAAAGACATGACAATTTTACTTACCAAGTCATATTCTCCAAATATTTTAAATATTTGCTTTGATGCCGAGCGGCATACAAAGATCAATTAGGACATCCGCCAAAAACATGATTCACCAAATCCAAGATTTACAAGTTAAGCTTGGTTTTGAGCTCTTTAAACTTATTATGGGTGACGAAGGATTAATGTTTCCG